TGATGCATTTATACTATTAGCAACAATCCTGTATAAATAACCAACATGAGAAATATTTTAGGGGTTTCTCTGACGATTTTTTAAGTGCTGGTATTTCTCTACCTTTCTAATCCTCAATTTACTGAAAAAACGCATGTCTCCTCTCAATGCAAAAATGACCTTATAGCGCCTTTGTAGCTAAAAAGCAGGAGGCTTAAATATTGCATTCCATCATTATCTTTCGTAGGTTAAACTTCAATTTTCCGCGTTGCCTATTCTCCTATTCATCCATTTACATGGCCAGTAGAAACACAGCTGGCGGACACCTGGCCCTCACCTGCGTCAGGCAGATCGAGTGTCCATCTACCAGGTTGAGGATTTGTGACCACGTACTTAGCACGTGAAATTGGAAGACGTTTATATTGAGGTGCATAGCTTGCGCTCTTTACCTGGCTTATAGACTAAAGATGAATCAGAGTTCCAAAATGTTTTCCTTCCATCCGTCAGACAACCTTTCGTTTCGAGCGTTGTTTTTGCTGTTTGAATTTCAAAAGTTTCTTTGGAATACCCAGTATTTTGTTATTGCGTTCATCCCATCGTCGTTTTCATTAGCGTTAGTATAAATGGCATGGCCATTATCATCATCAGTCATCAATAATTGCCCTCGCATTGATATATACAGATCGTGTCCTCATCGTGCGGCAGCCACATTACGCCGAGTTGATAGGTTACCCAAGCTATGTTGAATCTCGTGAGCTGTTGTGTGAGGCAGTTTTAGGCAGTTGTCATTGCAGGACAGGGCGCGTGTTTTGTGCCCTCTTCGTGTGTGCGCGTGCCCACCAGCTGAGGATTTGTACCTCTGAGGGGGTAAAACATACACTGTTGTCGTGGTTTTGCCCATCTGCTGTCTCCTAATCGCGGTCTTCCTTCTTTCTTTTCGTTGCGCAGAGTACACCGTTTTTAATATTTGATGAAAATCCATATTCGCCGAGATTATTCATTTGTGAGAGGGCTACAATGGACCATCATTACGGAGAATGCTGTACAGATTTTACGCGTGTGTGTGCGCGGCGCACCAGAAACAAAGAACAGCTGCGCCTTCTGTTAGTCCCGGGACAGCATCCCTATTCCCCACCAGATGACTCGCCTCAAAATTGCTTTCTAAAAATTTTGATACACATGCTACTTGTATATTTACTTGGAATTTGAGCGTTATCCGCTGATGTATTCATAGGTAATGATAAAGTGGTTCTCATGTAATATGATTTTTGGCTGACTAAAAATCTACAAAAACCACAGCTGAATGATTGCACTAGTGGAATGCCATAAGCAGTGTGTGTGTGTATGTGTGTGTGTGTGTTTGTGTGTTTGTGTGTTTTGTGTGTGTGTGTGTGTGTGTGTGTGTGTGTGTGTGTGTATATATATATTATATATATATATATATATATATATATATATATATATATATATATATATAACACTCATAGACATAAAATGTATCCGTTTTGCAGCTGATTAATTATTGGGTTATGATCAGCACCTTTATGTGGGAGCGTGGGACAAGAGCTTGGGCATGGAATACCGGGAATCAGAACAAAGCTGGTCTAAGGGTCGTGTTTTCCTCGAGTACAGCAAGGGAAAGTGAATCTTATTGTGGCGCTCTGTAGGGCCGTTTAAGTGGGCTTCTCCAAGGGAAGAAGAGCGAAGTTGGCGCTGTGCGAACGCGTGTCCCCCCCCCTTCCATTCCCCCTTCCCGCCGATCCCCCTTCCCCCTCTCTCCTTTCGTACCCAACCTCCGCCATCTCCCCTCCCGCCATTTTGCCACACCTGCCCTCGCGGAAAGACGGGTTGACGATCCCAACCAGACTGTTTACATTTCATGCGCGTTGGCTCATGAGCTGTGCATTTGTTTGAATCATCGAAATGAATGACGTCAGTTTATTATAGGGGCACATTGACCGAAAGAGGATTATTTGAATTTCACAAGTACGAGTATGCCGAAGCAGTCCAAACAGATGATTGTTTGGTGACTTTTAACCGTCACCATGATGTTCATTTCACCACGTAGTACCATCGGATGACGTCACCCAATCTGTACTCGCAGCACGTGCCACCTTGTGGCCAAACGCCCCAAAATGTTTTGTCATGATGGCCAAGAAGCAGCACTGAGTGTTAGCGGTTGTTCCCTTGTCGATCAAATGAATGCGTGGACGTAGAGGGAAGTCCACATGGTCACTGGCCCGCACTTAGCCTTGTAAATCAAACTCAGCCGCGCCAGTCCCCATCTTTACCCACCTGCCTTCGTCGTCCAACTGTGAAACCTCGACGCTTTCCGCTTTCTTGGTCATCGCTCGAACCTCCCTTATTAACTTGAGCTTCACTTGCCAGGATGTTAAAAGGGCTCAGGTTTGTCTCATTTCCATTGATTTTATGCAGCTGGAAACCTGTGTTATTAGTAGTTTACGATCATGCTCAAGATGTATTATTGGTATTATTTAGTTGTTATTACTGTTGTTGTTGCTAGTAGTAGTAGTAGTAGTAGTAGTAATCTTCATCATTGTTATTGTTCTTGTCGTCTTGGCTTTATTACTGCTATTATTGTTGTCACAGTCACCGTTATTATTATTATTATTATTATTATTATTATTATTATTATTATTATTATTATTGTGAACTTTTCCAGTAAAGACATTTAAATACACATCGCACAAATTGGCGATGCACAAAGAGTGGAGTTACATATAGAAACTCCAGGTTATTGCTTGTCTTTAAAAAGCCAAACAAGCTGTTAATCAAATGCGCCGCATGCATCTTGTTACGTTTCTTGGCGCAAGAGGAAGTGCGCCGACTTCCTCTATGGGACACGAAAGGCTTCTTACAAAGGTATTATTGTCAGAGCAAGAAACAAAATTGATGTCTCGTAGCGGCAGTGTCGGCGTTGTCTCCTCGGCAACTCCCTGCATGTGTCATGCTTTGTGTTTGTTGTTTTCTAAGGCAGAAGGAACGGAGGGGCAGAGGTACATCAACGTGACTTCGCGGAGGAGCGAAGTAGGGAGGGGCGGGCAAACTGCAAACAATACACGCTCTGATTAATGATTGACACTTTGATTGCATTATTACGTCTATTTTCCTTTTGCAGTATGTCATTTGTTTCAGTCAATAAGCTCTCGGGTTTATTTACTTACCCTCCCGTGCTTGCTCTTGCTACGCCGATTGTTGGATTCGCTGTATTTTTTGCTACCCTGAAGAGGGCTTTAAGCATCCTTATAGTTGGTGTGCATATACACGCACATACACATACCCGCGCGCGCACTCACACACACAGACACACACCTCAAGTATACACGCACTCATTCATGTTCACAGGTATATTGATGTGTATATGCGTGTATACATATGTTTGTTTGTTTGTTAGTGTGTGAAAGTCCCAGTGTTGAGTTGGTGATCCGAGTCACGTGAGCCACGCGCTAGCACCAAGGTTAGCCAGACAGTCACGTGCTACCAGACTACCAGTTCCTGCTTAGGGTGCCTTGTCATCCTCAAGCACTTCAATAGCTTGTCTCTTTTCGTTTCGACAATTTTAGTCATCTTCATTCATCTTGGCGCAGATTAACTTTTAAAGAATATTTTAACCCCCACGAGCAAGACGTCTTCATGCAGTTTACTGTTTTCTTGTAGAATTGATACCCATTTGATGTCATTGGACTCGTGCCTCATACAATGTCTTAGAAAGTGTTATGGTTGCGGGTATTCATACATACTGAGAATCAATAATCCACCACCGCAGGAACCGCTAGAGGTTTGCGGGAGTCATACAGATTCTTTCCCGAGTTATACAATCCAGTTGAGAATCCCATTGGTTTCATTGCTTTTACATACACACAAAAATTAAGTCTCGAAGCCCATACAGTAAATGCCTTCGACACTCATTCCAGCAGTCCTTCATGCTGCAATGCCTGGGTTAATACACGAACATCTCTGAGCGTAGAGAGGGAATTTCAGCCTATTTTGGTAATGCATGCGGATTGCTTCTAATTAAGCAAAGTATATGTAATCGCTAGTGTTATTTCTCCACAAACAAAACAGCATTGCTAGAAAATGTTGGGTTTCTTTTAAGTAAATTGCATTTGATGCATATTAATAAAAAAAAGAATCTATTACTTCAGAATATGGAGTTACACTGTGGCTTGTTTATCCTCACTTCACGATAGACAAGTGTGTATGGCTTAAATTCACTGAGGCGTCATGTCGACTTAATGACGTGAAAGTTGTCAATTATAAGCAGACTTACAATTCTGATAGCTTTAGGGAAGGTGGAATCGGTAGACCATAATGGGTGGCTGTGGCTGCCATTGGTGTTTGTACCCAGCTAATTTGTCTTGAAGAGAGAATATATGAAGCAGCGCTCTGAGCAGAGCTGGATCGGCCGGTACTTGGATGTGGGTCACAGCACCGCTCAATGGACAGGGCCATATTTGTGCGTACGCCAGCTAGCCCGTCTACCTGCCGCTTGGCTATCAATACGCTCTACGTCATAGTGCTTTCGTCACAGAGTCCGTTCCCTTTGATTGGTGCTAGTGTGTGACGTCAGAACTCATGAACGTCATCTCCCACCGCCCGTGAGTGGCGAGCGACTAAACCTTGGAGGGAGCTGCATTCTCATTGGTGGATCAAAGGTTTCTCCTCACAACTGCGAAAGTAACTGGCGGACCCGGCACGCGTCAGGTCCGCTGACGTCATCCTTCTGACGTCACGACCAGCTGATTGCTCTAGAGTGTTTGAGGCACCGTGAAGGGGGTCGATTTCTGAAAAATGATTGTTATAGAATATTAAATGAAAATAATATGTATTTTACTTTGCGATATGGTTGATTCGTCCTTTCAACATACGGATGTGACTCCAGAAGACGTGTCTTAAAGTATTAAGAGAAATAATGGTTGAATCAAAAGCCCCCTCTCCTCCAGCTAGCACAGGGAGTGGGGAATGGAGGCATCACAGGAAGTCGGGCTGGGCTTCCCCCA